AGTTTAACTTCTTCATTACCAATTTGGATGCCCTTTATTTCTTTTTCTTGCCTTATTGCTCTAGCTAGAACTTCCAGCACAATGTTAAATAGGAGTAAGGCTGTAATCTTTACAGGAACAGATGGCCACATCTTTTTCCCATGGAGCGACTGATGGGTTCGAACTACCAGCCTTCTGGTTAGTAGCTGGGGGCTTAACCACTGCACCACATAGGGAGTCCTAAATAAGTCTTACTACCTTCTCCACTCCTTCTTCTAGTAAATAATATCTATTTTGTAGTAAACAACAAAATCATCTTTGAAAACTTTCCGTTGTCCATAGAACAAAGTCCAAAATTCTTGATCTGCCCTGGGCTTCCTTCTCCAGCCTCACCCTCTTCCCTCTGTCCCTACAACACTGCCTTCTCCTTCCTGCTTCAAATCTTCTCCCATGCTGCTTCCTCAGCCAGAAGCCTTTGCTCCACACTCCCCTCTCTCCTCCCATCCTTGGCCAATCCCTTCTCATCCTTCAGGTCCTGAGGATGCCCTCTGGGAACCCCTCACACTGAGTGCCGTACTCTCTCAGTAGCTCCCTGTGCTTTTCCCTCCAGGATTTAGGACAAGTATTTGTGTGATGTTCGTCTTTCCCACTGGACTATAAGGCCCTTGAGGGCCAGGACTGTGTCTGTCTCATTCACTGCTATACTGTCAGCATCAGGCAGGGTCTGGATACAGGAAGTACTCAATAATGTTGGCATGAACAAAGAAAAGGAGTTCCTTTTTGAAATGTGAGTTCGGACACTCAGAAATGAAACAGAATCAATGTGAACCAGTCATGAGGTCAGAGGTGATTCAGATATGAGGCAAAGGGCTTTTGCTGCTATAACCAGTTGAGGCAGTTTCTCTCAGAACCTGGGGCATCACACTGAGGCAGACTTGAAAGAAGATGGGGCACATGGGCTGTGTACTTGACCCTCTTCCCAGAGAGGGAAGTGACTTGCCTGAGGTGTCCAGCCATGGCGGTGGGGATGGGAGTGAGACTCTATTCTGCCTCTCTCAGCATTGCAGCTGTTACCTCCAACCTTAGGAAGAGAAAGTGGAGAGAGAAGTTGCAGGACTCTGGGACAGGGGGTGACAAACTATGAAGAGGATCTGAAGGTACAGGCTTGTGAAACCTCAAGCAAGTCATTTCCCCTCTCTGGTCTTTAGTTTCACCATCTGTCATAAGAGGGTGTCTTAGGTCAAGTATCCTGGTAATCTAACTCTGAGATGGAAATTTATATAGAGGAGTTTTATTGGGGATCAGTGTCATAGAAGAGTGAGAAGCAGGACTGGGCAAAAGGAGAAGTTGGTCTGCAATGAATAGAGGCGTCACCTGATCCTACAGGGAGCTCTGGAACTGGGATAATCCTTCAGAGTTGTTTCAAATGAAGGCCAAGGGGCCAGGTCTTTGTACACTCTCCCATCAACCAGCCATTGGAGGGAGGTAGAGTGCCTGGTGGGGGTGAAACCTTGAGCTAGGTAGCTCCTTTCAACCAGAGAGGGGCTCAGCTGAAATCCTTCAGCAGCCAACACTCCCAATGGAGTGTGGGGTTGGGGGAAGGAATGAGTGCCTTCATCTATGTAGCCCACCACAGCATCCACTACAGAGGACTGGAGATTAGTAGTTTTCTGATTCTGTTCCATGGAGCCCTCAGGTTCCAAGAAGGTGCTTCAGTAGGTGGGAAATTGTTTTTCTTGGATGTGTTTTAGCTTCTGTAGAAGTCCAACATATTTCCTTGGAAGAAAAGTCTCTGCTGCTAGGTTTGAGAAACTGATAAATGCTCTTATAGCACCTCATATTTCTCCTTTGAGGTGCTGAACACAATTGTAACTTAGATAATTAGTTGTGTAATGATCCAGTGTCTATCTCCTCCACTAAACAGTGACTCCTAAGAGGGCAGCAACATGCCTGTCTTGTTCACTGCTATATCAGAGCATGGTACATATTAGGTGCTGTTGAATGAAAGAATAACCATGGCATCAGAACACCAGGGGGCTGTTAAAAATGCAAATTTCCAAGTTCCACCTTCAACCACTGGTCCTCCGGGAGAGTCTAATACACGTAAAAGTTTGTGAAGCACTGCTCCATTCCACCTGTCCAGGACTCAGGTGAATGTTTAAAACTTGCTGGAGGGGACCCACCCACCTCCTTTTTCTATCCACTCTCAAACCAAACATGCCTTCAAAAATGAAACAAAGAATCTAGTAACCAATAACTTCACCCAAACTCCAAACTTCGCATTTTATGTGTGCCCAGGTCCTGGGTTGCAGACTGCAGAAGGATAAAACAGATTTATTAGACACAATCTGGAGCCAAGCATTTTCAATTCCACATGCTCATGGAAGTGAACAAGATAAAAATATGCAGATCAAGGGCTTAGAGAGTTTGGGGACAAAAACAACACAAAACAAAGAGCTCTGGAATCAGACTGACAAGGATTCAAATCCTAGCTCAGCTGCATGACCTTGGGCACACTGAACAGCTCACTAGTGCTAGGTGCCATGTACCTGAACTGCTAGGTGGTTTTCATGCATTATTTAATCCTCACAACCTCCTGTGACCTAGGAATTCATTTCTTCCCAAAGATAAGGAAGTTGAGGGAGGATTAAAGTAACTTGCATAGAGATAAACAGACATTAAATGTCAACGCTAGAATTTGAATGTCTGTGAAGTTGGCATTCCCTAGACTTTCACCTGAGGGTCCATTTCCATATCTGTGAAATGGGAACACCACCCCTTTCTCCCAGGGTTGTTGTAATGAGTAAGAGATTAATTTTGAAAACATCTGGCACAATCACATTCAGTAAATGCTGCCTGGAAAGAAATTGGAAGATACGGCTCCAGGAGAAGGGAAGTTAAGTATCAAACTTACGTCTTCCTTGCACCCTTTCAGCAGGTTATAGCTTACACATCCATAATCTTCAGGCCCAACAGGCAAGGTAAACATTTTACCCCCATTTTTATGGCCAAGGAAATTTGTGGCACAATGAGATTAATTCAATCCTCCCAGGCCCTTTGACTAATAAGTGGCAAAATCAGGACCAGAATCCAATTTTTGAATTCCAAGTCTAATTCACTTTCACACCCTCTCAAATGATTCTAGAAGGAAGAGCACATGTAAAGGAATACTGCAAAAATGGAGTGCCTCAAAGGGAAAGAGGACATGGAGTCAATCAGGGAAGGCTTCCTGTAGGAGACCCAGCTGTGATTTTATGATAGCATAGTAGTTAGAGGAAGTGGGAGAGGGCTTAGCTCTTAAGTCATGATGTGGTTTTCCTGGTAGGCGTACGAGTTCCTGGTGCTCAGAGAAGTTAAGCAACTTGACCAAAGTCACATAGCTACTAAATGGCACTGGCACAACTTGGGGTTCACATCTAACCACTGATGCCTGGCTCTATCTCCTTGGTGCTGGGGAGGGAAGGATCAGAAGCAGGAGGGCACAATGTGGTGGGGCAGAGAACACTAGGGGTCTCCCCTGAGATTCTCAAACAGACTCCCTCACTCCAGGGTGAGCCCAGTAGTGGTAAAAGCAGCAAGATAAAATGCCAAGGCGTCAGGGTCAAGCAGACCCAGGTTGGAACCCTGGCTCCAGCACAGACTGGCTGTGGCCTTAGCAATGTATTTTACCTCTGAGTCTCAGTTCTTTTGCAGAATTGCTGTAGACTGAGACAGATACCCTCAAAGTAGCCAGAACAGGGCCAGCTTTAGTCAGAAACATAACGTAGTCATTATTATTCCACAAGGCCAGGCCAGCTGCAGATGGACACCCAAGAGACAGAAGTACTTTCGATGCCAACCATTGCCAACCCTGTAGTCACTGGGTACAAGGGCCTGGCAGAGCAGGGGCAGCAGGTCAGGTTCATGATGCAATCGTAGCTCCCTGCTTGCACTACAAGGTGAACCCTGACCCCCAGGAAGTGGAAAAAGACAACATTAACAAGAAGTACAAAACAAAACGTCGGTGAAGTTTTATTTGTCGGCATACGGAACTGGTAGCAAAGCCAAAGATTTCTGCACTTGAACACTGGATAACCCTTCCCACCCATCCAGGGGACATTCACAAAGTCACCATGTCTCCTCCAGAATCCAAACACTAATGCTGGGGCCCCTTCCCACCTGCCCAGCCTCTTTACAGAGAGGGGTCTGAGGCCTGAAAGGGGTGCCAGTTGCTTTCCCGTGCCTGCACGGGTATGAAATGTGGCACACTGACCCAGCTCCTCTCTCATCCCGCTCCAGAGAGGAAGGTCAGAAGCAGCAGTATCTTGGCCCTTGCCTTTCTTCAGTCACCTCCAAACTGGCTAGAGAGGAGGCACATACTGTCGGAAGAAGGGCAAGATAAACCAGAATTCACAGCTTGTTTGCTATAGAAAGTGCCTGGGATCAGTCCTTGGCTGCTTCTGCTTCCAAGCAACTTGCCTAAAATTGAGGAGAGGGGACAGAAACTGGGATGGGGACACGGGTTCTTAGAAAGCAGCCAGGAGAGACTGACTGCAGGAAAGGGGTCCCCAGAGGCCGCAGAGATCCTGCATGGAAATCCGTCTGCTGCTGGCAGATTGGCCTGGGAATCCCAGGCTGAAGAGTCAGACGTCTCAGAAATCTAGACCACTCCTTAGTCTACAACCATGGAAACAGAGGTCAAAGAGGTTTGGCAACATAGCCGTGGTCACCCTGGCCGGTGGCAGGGCCCAAACAAGAACGCTCGTGACTCCTGCCTCTCCCACTGGGCCACAGTGCCATCTGAGCCACCAATAAAGGTTCAACCTTTTGGCAAACATCTGTGGATAGGCGATAGGAGAGTGGAGAGCCAGCCTCTGCAGGGCAGGTACAGCTCTGGGGAGAACAGATTTCTCCCTCTCTCCCTCCCCTCAGATCCTGACTATGGCTCCAGGGTAGAGGCCCTGAGGAGGTTTGACCCTCAACCATAAAGGACCAAAAAGCAAAGAACTTATAATCTAATACTCCCTCTTCTTCAGAAGGCAAGGTGACCAGCAGAGGCCCAAAGTCTCTAGAGATACATCTTCCACTTATTTGATGTGCTTGGCCTCTCTCCTGGGGACCCACACCATCAGGCATGGGAGAAAAGGGTTAAGAGGGAGAAGGTCAAAAGAACTACATTAGGATTAGGGCAACTGGGGAACAAAGGGCCTTCTGACTAACCAACAGAGCAGGATTATGCAGAGCTGGGCACACAAACCAGCTGGAGCCCTGACTTTCACATTGATGGGTGAATGGTAGGTAGGAGGTAATGAAATCTGGGAATGGTGGGTAGGGCGGGCAGAGCTGCCTGGAGTGTCAATCCCTGGAGGTGTCTGCCCCTCTCTCAGGGCCAGCCAGGGACTTCCCAGTCCAGGGAGGTCACAGCACTCGTGGTGCCTGGGGCCCAGCCTGCTGGCAGACATGTCCGTGCTGGGCTCATTTTCCTTCCTGTGCCCTCTGCCTCTGGGGGCAGAGGCAGGAAAAAGGGCATGGCCCCTGGGGTCTCCTAGTCCTCTTTTAGCTCCCAGGGGCAGCGCTGGGATCCCAGAGTCAGTGCAATGATCCTGTCCATTCCAGTGAGAAAAAGGAGGGTGTGGCTTGGGGCTGCAGGTCACACACAAGCCCACCCCCAGAGTGGGGTGGGTGGGCGTGGGACAGGAAAAGGGTCTGGGTCTGTCTCCAGACAGAGAAGTCCTTGCAGGGTCAGCTGCTCCGGGCCCAGATCCTGTGTAGGAGTCAGGTCATGTAGCGGGTGATGGCACGGAGGGCGTAGAGCAGGGCAGCTTGCATTCGGGCCTCCAGAAGCAGTAAGTTCACATGGACCTAGGGTACAGATAACGGCTTGTTGGCAACTGTGTTAAACCCTACCCTCCCCATTCCTCCCAGACTGCCACTATCCCTGACTACTCACTTTGTCACCTCCCCTCCCTACAGAGCTGCCCTGCCTTTCCTAAGGCTCTCAGCAATTTGGTGTGAATAATTTTAAGCACATTCATCCCTGTCATGACTAGTCTCTTTATCTTCCCAAGCTAATCCCAAGAGCTACTACTAACTGATCACCTACTAGGGATCTGGGGTTTAAATACATTTCCTCATTTCATCTTCCCAGTAACCCTGAAATGTAGGCAGTATCTATTCCCATTGTAAAGATAACAAGCTCAGAGAGGCAAAGAGTCTTGCTCAAGGTCACACAGCAACTGAGTCGTAGTGCTACCGTGTAACCCAGGTCCACCAGGCTGCCACTGAGGATGCTGTGAAGCAGGAACACATATTCCTGTTTTACAGATGAGTAAACGAGGTCTGAAATCACATAGTGGAGTAGGACTTAAAGCCAGAACAATAGGCCCAGGTGTTCCACCTGGCAGAACAGACTCAGTCTGGGGTTCCCTCATTGGGTCCTGGTCCCTTGCCCCCTCCACTGGCTGGGCTTGTCTACTCCATTCTGTTCCTCTAGCCTTGGCACCTCCCTGGAAGGAGGGCTCACCCCTCCCTGATGGGCTGTACCTTCTCTGAGTGGCGGAAATGCCTCCAGAAGAGGTTGTACATCCTCCGAGTGGTCTTCTCTGGGTAGCAGGCTACTGTCTTGATATAGACCTTGAGATTCCGCTCCAGGAGCTGGTTCACCTCCCCATAGTCATAGTCATCATATCTGGATGGAGAGGCCCCAACCACGTCACTCATCCTTTACTCCCAGAGGTAGCTCCCCCCGCCCCGCCGCTCACCCCACAGAGGAAGGAACACAAAGTGGTGAGAATAGGCAGAAGGTAGGAAGCAACGAGAAGCCAGTTCCTCTTAGAAAAAGCTGATGTCGTGTCGCAGTGGCCACCAGACTCATAGGGATGCACAGAGAATGAGCATGCTACACTGAGTACCAACTATGTGCCAACTATTTGGTGGAATTCTCAAAACTACTGTATGCAACAAGTTTCATAAGCCCCACTTGATAGATGAGGGTACTGAGATTCAGAGAAGTGAAGTCACTTGTCCTAGGTCATACAGCTAGAATTAGAATTCAAACCCAGCTCTGCCCGGTGCCAAGGCCATATTTACTACTTTAGAGTAAAGGCCATGGAAAGTGGGGCAGGAGGTCAGTGCAAATATTCACCCTGGAGAGGGAAGAGGGAAGGGATCAAAAGGAGCTGGTATTCATTTTACAGACGGGCAAACTAAGGCCTGGAGAAGACATTAACTTGTTCAAAGTCAAAGTTGGTGACAAGTCTAGAAGGCACGTTGTTCACTCCCCAGACCAGTAGGCCAGGGTAGCCAAAGGCATCACAGATCAGTGTGGATGGGAAACGCTGGCTGAAAACTGGAAGACAAGTTCAGAAGACAAAGGTATGGGAGCAAGCACCATGTGGAGGGTGAGGAAGCCTGGACCTGAGAGCTGGGCAGATTAGCCTGTACCACCTACTAAGATGCCTGTTCTTGGCCTCTCCTAGGTTCCAAACCCGCCAACAACCAGCAAGAGGATAGCCGGTGAAGCACAGCTCGGCCCACTCTGTGAAATAGGATTTCACAGCCAGTGACACAGAGCAACAGATGTTTTCTACAAGGAACACGTACTTTTTTTAAAATTTGGAGTAATTTTTTAGATGGTTGGAATAAACTGTTAAATGAAAAAGAAAAAAAAAATCGTGTGTTCACTGGAATATGCTTATGCTTTATTAAATGAGTAAAGTAAGTAAAATGAGCAGGCAAGAAAATGGTAACAGATCTTGTTTTTGTAGACTTATATACACTTTGGCTATTTGCACATAGAAAAAGGACAGGAAGGAAATACCTGCCAATAGGAAGAGCTGATGAGATCATGGATGATTGTTGTTATGTTTTCTCAATTTTCTAAAATCAGGCTGTTTATCTTTACATCAAATATATTATGTTTTTTTTAAATAAAATAATCACTATAATTTCAAATATACAAAAGCAATTTCATAGAAAAGAAAAAAAGTAATGGAGTGATAGAATTTTGGGAAACTGCTTTTCTCCTTAGTCTTTGAATTTTCCATAATCCAGAGTATGAAATTAGATTTCTTTCAGGTAAAAAAAAAAATTGATTCGTGATATCCTTGACAAGTAGTTTCTCACCTAGAAAAAATTTATGTATAAGGCTAGTCAGTGCCCATGGTGTTTGAAATAGTGAAAAACAGCAAATACCCTAAATATCCAAAAGAAGAATGTCTGAGTAATTACGATACATCCATAACAGAATACTGTGTAGCTGTTAAAAAGTATAAAAGATCTAAAAATACTGAAAGGAAGGTGATTCACAATGATCAATAGGTGAAAAAGTAAGTTGCAGAACATGTTGAGTATGATCCCATTAATTAAAAAAAAAAAAAATCCTACTTAAAAAATCAGGAAATACTTAAACAACAAGATTAAAATGCAATTCATCACACTATACTATACAGAGATAATCTCTATCAAATAACATTTTAGAGTTCAACCTTCTATATATTTTTCATGCATGTACACACTTCAAGTAGAAAATGAACAAAAAGAAGATTCTGCTTGGTAACCAGTTTTCTTTTCTCGCAAAACATTTTCAACATTTTCCCATGTCGATATAAATAAACTTCTAATGTCATTTTTAACAGCTGCCTAATATTTCACTGAATAAACATATGTGGCATTATTTAAAGACTCCCATTTATACGCATTTACATTGTCCTTATTTATTATGAGAGAAGGACTGCTCCTTGGAATGGAAATAAAACATCAAATATAACCATAGCTATCTCTAGGAGGAGAGATTAAAGAGTTTCATTTTAGAAGGTTCACACAACGAACACTTCTATTATCTTTTATAATCAGCAAAGAAATGCATTTGTTTTGAAAAACAGTATAGGCAGAAAGAAAGAAAAACAGAAAACAAGAATAATGAAATAGAACTGTGAGTTCCAGTTCACAACTTGCACCATACACACACCCTCAGTGAGGTCACACATGCCCACCTGATGCCAAAGACACAGTGAATGTAGTTCCAGATGGCCCTGCGGAGCATGGAGGTGTCCACACCGCTGTGCATGGCCATGGTGTTGTAGGTGAGACTATAGGCTGCCTGGAACTTCTCATCCAGCAGCTGTCCACCCTCAGGGTAGAGCCGCTGGATCAGTGAGTAGCCATGGTCTTCCCAGGTGTAATCCTGAGGAGCACAGGAAGACGTCAGTGAACAGAGACTTTGGGGCCCAAGGCTGGCCAGAGAGGCCCCATCCTCTGGACCTCTGGAGCACACCTTTGCTCTCTATGTCCTCTTCCCACTCCACAAATACAACACTGCTTGCTCTGGGCCTAAGAAGCTGAGGAAGATGCATCTTGGTGATGACCTCTTCTCTAAGATTAGGACCCCCTGAGCTTGGGGCATAGATGGGTTCCTTCAGGATCCAGAGGGTCCCCCACTCCCCTAATAGAATCTTGAGGATTTAAGGTAGGAAGAGAGGTGCCCAACTCCATAACCATTTAAACCATCTATCCCCTACCTATTTGTTAATCTGGAGCAATGGCCAAGACTCACAGGGAGAGGCCTACCTGGGCGCGGAAAGTTGGGGGTGCCTCAGCCCCTTGCCGGGTAAAGTCCTCATATCCAAAAGCGGGGTCTTCCACAAAGCACAGCATGTCTGGGCGTGGAGAGGGCTCCAGGATGTCAGCTGAAAACCATGTCAGAAAGAGGCCACCATGAGGCTGATACATGCAGCACACACACAGGCAGGCTTCAACTTCTAATTAACCATCGATAGAGGGCAGGGGAAGGCACAGAGTAGAGGGCCAGAGAAAGTCCCTTACTACAGCGAGTGGGGCCAGGACTGCAGCTGGGGTCAGGCCTGGGGGAGGAGGGGGGCCCCTAGTAATCATAATAGCAATAATGGCAAAAAAAACAAAAACCCAAACCTGACGCCTTCGAGTCAATTCCGACTCATAACAACTCTATAGGACAGAGTAGAACTGCCCCGTAGGGTTTTCAAGGAGCAGCTGGTAAATTCAAACTGCTGACCTTTTGGTTAGCAGCTAAGCTCTTAACTACTGCACCACTAGGGCTCCAAGCAATAATAATGGTGGCAGTTTTTTATGGAGTTGCTTATCCTTGGCTGGGCTCTATGCTAAGAGCTTGGACTCTGCTGCCGCATTTATCCTACATACCAATCCTTCACGTGTGAGGAGACTGAGGCTTTGAGACAGAAGGTGATTTTTCAGTGGTCACACAGCCAATAAGGGGAAGAGGCCAGAATTTAAACCCAAGTGTGACCCCAAAGTCCATGCTCAGACACCTACTGAAAGGGTGGTCAGGCCTGGCTGCCTCCAGAACAGAGGAGGTATGGGGTGCAGAGGTGACTATTCCCGAACAGAGGTGGACAGCCCCAGGAACCTGGACACCTGTGATCCTGTACCTGAGGGGGTCACCAGAAGACTCTCCGACTTCTCCAGCTCAAAGCGGCTCTCCATCTCCTCTGGAGATGCCCCCTCGTCCCGTAGCAGGCTCTCCTGAAGCTGCCTCATGCGTTCCATCAGAGCCTCCACGTCACGTGCGGCCTCAAAGCCCTGGTGCAGGGGGCCCAGTGGTGACCATCTATTCCTCCTCCCTCCCTCGGCCCCAGGAAACTCCACACACCCTTCCCACATGCAGGCTTCCTAGGCGACTGTAAAAGCCCAGCGCACCCTCTGTGCCGGGCACATGCTGGGCAGCTCGCATGACCTGGCTTCCAAAAGTGAAGTTTAAGAAGCTACAGAATAAACACGTCTTCTCTGAGCATCAACTTCCCTCACAGGTAAGACATTTTTGAAGTATCTATAATTTTATATTAAAACTAACAAGGCCAACTCACAGAGTAAGAGGCCACCTCACTTTATATTTCTGAAATGCTCAAAACTAGGAGACTTTGAGCCTATGGGGCTACATGCTGACAGGCCAATCACATGGTTATTTCATTTAATCCCACAACCCACTGTGACTTAATCCTTACAGTCCTCTTTATCCCCATTTCAGAGATAAGGAAACTGAGCTTCAAACTCAAATAACTTTTCTAAGGCCTCTCAGTGTGAGGAGACAAGCAAGCAGGAGCTTCTACCAAACGACCAGAGGCCATGCCAGCTTCCTCCCCTACCAAGTCCCAGCCGGTGGTGACTTACCCCAGAGTTGTTGAGTGGGTCCCCGCTGGGGGTGCTGCTCTGCTCACTGGGGGGCGAAGGTACCTGGGGGGTAGGGCTGCCCTCTGGGTCCCCCTCAGGAAGGATACCACAGCCAAACACAAAGGAGGCCAGCGAGTGGCAGTGAGTGAGCAGGACCAGGGCCTGGATGAGCTCGGCCAGGGACCAGCTGTGCTCACTCGTCTTCAGCAGGGCCTGGAAGGGAAGGAAGGCCAGACCCGCTAAGTGCCTGTCCCTGGGCTGCCCCCAGCCCAGCCTCTGGGCTCCCTCGGGGACCCGCCTCTCTGCCCACTTCACCTGGATATGCTCCTTGGTGATGAGCCATGGCCGATGCGCCAGCAACTTGTTGATCTCGCTGAGTTTGCGCAGCTTCTTGGGGGCACGGTGGAGACCCAGAAGCCACTCAGGGTCACCACCAGTCTGCAGAAACTCAGCCATGTGGGAGCCCACCAGATAGGAGCACTGGTGGCGGGCAGCAGCCTATGGGGTGAAGCACAGAGCCTGGGTCACCCTCCCTCTTTCTGTGCCCTGTTAAGGGTGGGTACCCCATGGAGGAGACATCACAGGACTTGCTGTTGCCTGGGAGCAGGAAATCTATGTTCTAACCCTAGCTCTGCCACCAGCTTGCTGTGTGACCTTGGGTAGGTCATCTGACCCCTTCTCACCTCAGTTTCCCAATCTGTAACGCAGACACAAAAGATACTGCTTTTCAAAATCTAACATTCTATGGCTGGTCGGATGAAGCCAAGCTTTCCTCTGCTTTGTGCTTCCTCTCTCTCTGGTCTATGGAATCAGCTCAGGAAGCCCCCAGCCGAGAGATCCCAGGGCAGAAGCCTCCCTAGGCCCACTCCCACAGGAGTCAGGCCTGGGCAGACTCACCATGATGGCAATGTAGTGGCGCCAGGGGCTGGCCAGGGGCCCATCCGTGTGCAGCAGCTGGTAGTGCAGGCGCCAGAAGCTGCTCAGGTAGTCGGGGTGCAGGCCCATCACCACCGCCAGGTTGTCTACCCGCCCTGAAGACATCAACGCCTCCAGCCCCAAGTGCTGCTCCAGGCTCTCAGCTCCCTCCTGAAGGATCTATCAAGAAAAGGTGAAGAGAACATGGGTTACCCTCCTGCCCTCCCCAACAAAGAGACCAACATAGTCATTGCAGTGGATTTATAACAGCAAGGAACTGAAAACAACCTTCATGTCCCACCTAGGGGAAGAAGGAGCCCTGGTGGTACAGTGGTTAAGAGCTTGGCTACTAACCAAAAGGTCAGCAGTTCGAATCCACCACCTGCTCCTTGAAAACCCTATGGGGTAGTAGTTCTACTCTGCCCTGTAGGGTCGCTATGAGTCGCAATCGACTTGGCGGCAAAGGGTTTGTTTTTTTTTTTTGGTTTTTTAGGGGAGGAAAAGACATTTCATTAAGTGATTAAACAAATACGTATTAGGCATTTTACCATTTTTAGATAGGAAAATAGGCACAGAGATTAAAGTGCAGTTTCTCCTGTCCTCATGGAGCTTTTGTTCTAACATTGCAAGTCCATACAACCGGGGGGGAGGGAGGGTTGTGCAAAAGAGTTCACATTTCCTGAGTCTGTTCTCCATGCCAGGCGCTGAGGAGCTTGGAGGTTTCCTGCATTATCTCAATGAATTTTCCCAATAATCCAGTGAAGTGAATGCTATTATTTTCTCCAATTTGCAGATGAGAACATCAATGCCCAGAGAGGTTTAGTTCCTTGCTCGCAGATCTGGCAAATGTCAGATTAACCCAAAAACCTATTTCTTTCCTTAATTATAAAAGGGGAGTGGTTATTTATAAATAAAAAAATATATATATAAGAACAATAACATTTGAGCTTAAAATTCTGGGCTACAGACATAAGAAATCAGTGGGTGGTTCTTCATCTTACATTTACAAGAAGGAGGGAGATTCGAGCATTTAAACATTTTTTAACAGCTCATTCACCACCTGGCCTACACATTTAGGAGAACAAAAGGATAAAGAAACAAAACATTCATCTTTGCTGATTAAAAGCCAAAGGAAAATGAGGAAACTATTATTTTTTTCATACACGTATTTTTAAGGTACTAATCCATCCCCCCCCCACACACACACACAAGTGTGCGCACAAACGCACGCATGCACGCACACACACTAGAATGTAAGCTCCATGATGGAAAGACTTTTGGCTGTTTAGTTCACTGCTGTATCCCTAGCGCCTGGAAGAGTGCCTGGCACAGATTAGTCATTCAATAGATATCTATTGAATAAATGAATGAACGAACTGACTCAGTATATGAAAGATGTCTCAGTTGTATTGTTAAGTGAAAACAAACAAACAAAAAAACCCAAGTTGTAAACTATGACCTTGGTTTTGTACCGAAAATAAGTATCTGTACGAAAAAAAAGCCCAAAAACAGCAGCAAATGGTTGTGATTATCTCTGTGGGGATTGGGATTATAGGAGACCAGCGCTCTCTGAAACACTGGAATTTTTTTTTCAATGAACATAAAGCAGGAAAAAAAATGGTTTAATATATGCACTGTGACGGATAAGAAGAGAAACACAGACAGCTCTATCTTCTTAAGGAAAAATGGGCACTGACCTGGGAATCTAAAGTTTTGCCATCACCTAGCTATTATTACTACTTTACCTCTTTGAGCCTGTTTCTTCCCAGTAAAATGGGATTGACAGCACCTACTTTACAAAGCTGTTTTGTGAATTAAACAAGTCAGGAATCTGAAGGGGTAGTTTCAAAGGTTCTATTCTAAGGGACAGGAAAAGACTCCTGCCCACCCAACGCTCCATCCTTTCTTTCTAGGGACCAGATTCCTACTCCCTTCCAAGCTTACCTCCTCCATTGGGATGAAGGCGCTGGGCCCTCGAGGGCCTCGCCAAGACCGTCTCTCCCTCTGCTCCTAGGAGAAGATACATCATGGTTAGTTGGTGTAGAAGGGAAGACTAAGTGGATAGTTATCTCTCCAACTTCCTCCTCCTCACATAAGGGACCACAGTGAGCTTTAAAACTACCTTTCTGGTACATCCAGCATGGAGAAGCCAGTTGGGAGATATGCACCCTGTTTTGTGGGTGGGGTAGTCCCATTGCCATTGAGTCAATTCTCACTCATAGCAAGAGGGCTGATTTCATCAGGAACTGGGCAGTGACCCAGGAGCCCCAGCAGTGCTGGGTGGGAGGGATCTGGGAAGTCACCATGTTGCACATCTCCAGTGGGTCACCTTTTTGGCAGCCCTGAAGAACTCACACGAAGCATGGTTTGACCACTCCCAGCCAGGAAAAATATCCCATCATTTGCATCCAGAGCTTGGTAACCCAGTAGTCCAGAGTACTACTGATAGGGCTTCAACCACTCTCAAATTGCCTTTTCTTTACTCCTCATAGACTACCACTATCCCTTGTCTAGACCACTGCTCCCAGCCCCACAAATGGTCTTCCTGCCTCCACAGCCTGCCCTCTACTATCCATCCTCTACCCAGCAGTCAGAGTAAACCTTCTGAAGTACAAATCTTATCAACTGGCTTAAAACCCTGCCTTAACCTTCCACAACCCCTCAGATAAATCAGTGGCCCAGACCCAGGCCCACTGCCCTCCCACTGGTCATTCCTTTTGCAGAGCTAACTATTACAGCACATCAGGGTCTGGGAACCTTTTTCCTGGCCCTCAGGAGGCCCCTCTTCTGTCACTCCACAATTTCTAGTGTTTTTGTTTCTGAAAACACTATCTTCCAATTATCTGTTTTAAGTCCCCTTACTACCAGACCACATTTTGCTCAGAGCAGGGTCAGATCATTCATACTAGTCTGTGAATGGAGAAACTAGAGGTGTGGAGGGAATGGAAGCAGAGTGTGCAAGGCTGATGGGAGCAGCTATTCTGACATGTGGGAGAAAGTGCTCCTATATGATGTACTTGAGTCTCTTTAGAAACCACCAGTCATATACTTACTGAATCTCCTCTCCTAGTCCTAGAATGGGATTCGAGGAGGATTTTTTTTTTTTAATTGATTTGTTTTGTTAATTGGGACAGAGAGGGGAAGAGGAAGGGTCATCTCAGCACTGGCATTGGAAACAGTTTACCCAAACCAGAGTCATGCCCCTCACTGGACAGGGACAGTCCCCCTCCCCCCATTAAAATCCAGACTTGGGAAAGTAACCTAGATTCTCTGAGTCTCAATCCTAGACAAGAAGGTGGCTGGGCTGACTACTCAGGCCCCCTTCAGCCCACACTCTTGGGCCCTACCAGGCCAAGCTGTTCCAAGTCCAGGGTAGTAACCACCACAGTCCCCAAGCACTCCCTTTTCAGCTTCCCTCTTCCCTCACCTAAGGGAAAAAGCCCAACAGCACAGTCTGGGAGATAAGGATTGCTGACTCCACACACTGAGCCTCCCCCTCAGGGGAGCTGAGAACAGATAGAAAACCAGCAGGGTGGGGCAGAACTGGAGGGCAGGCAGAGGTACTGGGAGGCACAGGGAGCAGCCCTGGGATCCCTTCTCACTGCAAAATCTTCCCTGGAGCTGCCAAGGGGAGGAGCTAATATCTGAGGGTCTATAAGTGAAGGGTCTGGATCCCTAAACATTTTCAGCCCTAGTAACAATAACAGCTATTATTATTATTATTATGATAGTAGAGTGCAGTTAAAAATTACAGGCTCTGGACACAAATTGCCTGGGCTCTGTTATTTGCTAGCTATGTGAACCTCAGTTTCCTCACCAAATAATGGGGGTAATAGTACCTACTCTCACTGAGTAGTCAAGAGATTAATGAGATAATGCGTAGCACAGTACCTGTATCACAGTAAGTATATAATACAAGCCAGCTATCATTGACTTCATCGTTAATTTCAAACAAGGGCTTCTCAGTCCAGACTGTATATTAGGATCCCTTGGAGAAGCTTTCAAAAAAAATACCTATGCCCAGGTCCCACCCCCAGTAATTCTAATTTAATTAGTCTGGGGTGGGGACCCAGCACAATATCCAGTCAGGGTGGGGACTCACTGTTTTGTACTATTTACTGATCACTTTAAGAAGTATAAAGTATTGTGCTAAGTGCTTTCCCAGTGGAACCAGAATTAATCTGTTCATCCAACAAACATTTTTGATGACTACTTGCCAGGCAGCCTGAATACAGTAATGAAAAGACAAAGTCTCAGCCCTGTTAGGACTTAAAATATAATGGAGTAAGACAAACAACAGAAGAATAGGATTTCAAATCATAAGTTCTATAAAGCAAATGAAATACAGCAAGGAGGTAGTGTTATGATGGAGAAGGGGTGCATGCAGTATTTTAGTTTGAGTAGACAGGGGCCCTGGTGGTGCAGTGGTTAAGAGCTTGGCTGCTAACCAAAAAGGCAAGGGGTTTGAATCCACCAGCTACTCTTTGGAAACCCTATGGGGCAGTTCTACTCTGTCTATAGGGTCTCTATGAGTCAGAATTGACTGGACAGCAATGGGTTTGGTTTTGGTTTAGACAGGGAAAGCCCCTGCGGAGGTGATCTTTGAGCTGATACCTAAATGATGAGAAGACAGCAGGGCTTGTAAAGATCTGGGAGGGGGGTCAGCATTCCAGACAGAAGGAACAGTCAGTACAAGGCCCTGAAGGCAAAACCAAGTAGATTCTAATCCATGGTTCCGACAATCTGGATGGTTCTCTAACCTTGACACCCACAACTACAGGGGATGCAGACGGGCAGGGTCCCACTGCCAAAAGATGACACCTCCAAACCAGCTCTTCTCCCATTTCTGGAATTGTTGTTAGTTGCTATCAAGTTGATTCTGACTCATGGTGACCCCATGTGTGCAGAGTAGACTGCTCCAAAGGGTTTCCAAGGCTGTGACCTTTCAGAAGCAGATGGCCCTTCCTGTCTTCCTAGGTGCCTCTGGGTGGGTTTGAACCACTAGCCTTTTGGCTAGTTGTCAAGCGCTTAACCTTCTGCACCACTCAAGGACTACTATCCCTGGGGTAGGAAGTCAATAATAATAATGGTAAGTAACAACACTGCCTACCATTGGCTAAGCATTTACTTCACATGGACTGCCTACACTTTCAAGGAAGGAACTCCTACTAAACTAACAAACCAGTTACTCTCTATTCTAACTCATAGTGACCCCCTGTGCTGCACACTAGAACTGTACTCCGTAGGATTTTCATGGCTGTAATCTGAAAGCAGATCACCAGGACCTTCTTGCAAGGTGCCTCTCGGTGGGTTCCAAGTGCCAACCTTTTGGTTAGCAGCTGAGGGCTTAACCATTTGTGGCACCCAGGGACTCCTATTAACTACTACTATTGCCCTCATTTTACAGATAAGGAATAAGGCACAGAGACGTCAAATCAAGTCACTCATACAACCTCAGTTGGGAAGGAGGTGACAGAGCTGGGATTCTCATTCTCTAAACTTCTCAAGGTCTCAGTAGCCTCAAGGCTTTTTTATCTGGGGTTCCTCAGCCGTGAGAAGCTCCTTCTCTCTACCCATTGCCGCTGGGATCCACTGCCCTCAATCACAACACCTGTACTGTCCAATAAATACAGCAGCTTATAGCGACTGTGGCTAAGCATTTGAAATGTGACTGTTGTTGTTAGGTGCTGTTGAGTTGGTTCTGACTCATAGCGACCCAATAGGACAGACTAGAACTGCCCCATAGGGTTTCCAAGGAGCAGCTGTTGGATTTGAACTGCCAACCTTTTGGTTAGCAGCCGAGCTCTTAACCACTATGCCACCAGGGTGCGACTAAAATATTGAACTTTTAATTTTAATTTATTTAAATCTAAATAGCCACATTGGCTAGGGGCCACCATACTGGACGGTGCAGGTTCAGCATATCAGATAGAGACATGATCCCCACCTCTACTTTACAGATGACGAAAATGAAACCCAGAGGGGGCAGGTGCCATGCTCAAGGTAATACACCTGGTGTGAGGCATAGGGAGGGCCAACGGTGGCTGTTCCTACAGTTCCAACTGAGGGGGTCACATGGAGCAGCAGGAACAAGTCAGGTGTTCAATCAACAGGGAGGCCTTCAGGCAAGTTGTAAAAAGAGGATAATCGCCTCATTTCAGTGTCTGGCTTCTAATTTAAGCTCACACTAAACTTTTACACTAGCTCAGGCACTGTACACAGGTTTCACTTAATTTTCACATCAGTTTTTGGGAATGGGGGTGGGGAGAGATCTCTATTTTGCTCACAAATAAAGATTAAGGTTCCAAAGGTTATATATCAACTGAGAAGTGGCCAAGGATCCCTGGTGGCACAGTGGTTAAGCGCTTGGCTGCTAACCGTAAGGTTGGCAGTCTGAACCCACCAGCCACTCTGCTGCAGGTGAAAGATGTAGCAGTCTGCATCCATAAAGATTACAGCCTTGGAAACCCTATAGGGCAGTTCACTCTGTCCTATAGGGTCGCTATGAGTCAGGATCAACTCTACAGCAATGGGCTTGGTTTTTTTTTGGTGAGAAGTGGCCAATCTGAGATTTGAACCCAGGTCTGCCTAGCTTCCAAGGTCCTTTCCACTCCACCACTATAGCCTCTTGGAGTGGACCCAGGCCTGGAGATTTGAATTCAGCTCAGTCTGGCTTCCAAGGGTTCTGTCAACCAGCCTGTTGGAGTAGCCTCATCCTGTGACCTCCGGTAAGACTCAGTTACAGGCACCTGCTAAGTTACTCTGCTGGCTGGGGAAGGGAAGAGCCCGACTACGCTCATCGGCTGCTCTGGTCACCTGAACTGACACTTGCCTGGGTTTATATCTGAGAGGAAGATACAGCCCAAGCAGCCCCTGACCTCCAATCTTGGATAGAAGGTGGGGAGGGGTGCCGTACTCTTGTATGCCACCAACAGCTGGGCACCAAGCTAAGTGCTTTACACATCTGATCTCACTGACTTCACCCAACCACCCTGGGAAATAGGTCTTGTTATCCCTTCCTTAGAGACAATCGCCGACGCTCAGAAAGGTCCTGTCCCAGACAGGCACAAGCTCAGATCTGACTTCAAAGCCTGCACAGTTCACAAGGTTCAGCTAAGCCATTATGGGGCAAATAGTTATGAGCACTTATCAGGTGCTAAGAACAGTGCTGGGCAGGGGATGAGATGTGCAGGATGGGGTTGCTGCCTCTAGGTGTTTCTAGTTCAGCAAGACAGACAAACAAGAAATACCTAATTACACAACTGTTTCACTACAATTGGGATAAAAGCTCCTATGCAGGGGAAGGGGGCTGGAAGTGGGTATGCTTATCTCATGGGGGGGGGAAAGGCTTCCCCGAGGAAGTCATATTTGAAGAAGTAATTTGATAGCCTAATAAGACTCTGAAAACATACTACCAACACTAGAGTGAAGCTCTCAGAACTTACTGGAGATACACACTTCTTAAGGCCTTGATCCCCTGAAAGGCATGTGGTGAAGTGATGAGGTGTTGAGGAGGCTGCACATCTGGATCTTCAATGGGGCCTTGGGCATCAGGTTCTATAAGATCAGCAGCACCCTGCTGTCTTCTAAGGATTCCTGCTTAAGCACACACCTCCTTCCCAAGGTCCTCTTTTCTACCAGACACCACCAGCTTTCCCCACTGTTGACATCTAAAGGCCACTCTCTCACAGCCTGCCCCAGCCACCTGCAGCACTCTCTTCTCCTCAGGAGCCTTCTCCTCAGGCACTCACTTCTCAGGCACTGTCCCAGAGATGGATGCACAGGTCTCTCACCTCAGACAGGAGGGTAAGCTCAGGCATTCCCCTGTGAGACACTGACAAATGGGAAATTAGCATGTCTGACACAGTTACTATGTTCCAGGCACTGTGCTTTAGTCTTTGCTTGTATTCTCAGTTAATTCTCCTGATCATCACTGAGGGATACTATCAAATTCCCAAGTGAAGAAGCTGTGGATCAGAGAAGGTGATCACTTGGCCAAGGTCACATAGCAAGTTAATGGGAGGGCTGGGACATGAACCTAGCTAACTCTGGATCTAGTGCCCAGGTGCTCTCAGTAATAACATTTCCATTTTTTCACAAAGAAAGAAACAAACAGCCTCAGAGAGTAAAAAGATTTGGTCAAAGTCACATAGCTGAGACGGAACAAGAGTGGGGGACCATTCCTCCCCATGGAGCTCCTAAACCGTGGTCCAAACAAAAAAACCAAACCCGTTCCCATCAAGATGATTTGAGACCCACCTCTCTATATCCTTATAAAGACCCTATAGGGCAGAATAGAACTGCCCCATAGAGTTTCCAAGGCTGTAAATCTTTACCGAAACAGACTGCCACATCTTTTTCCCTTGGAGTGGCTGGTGGGTTGAACTACCAACATTTCTGACCTTTTAGTTAGCAGCTGAGCTCTTAACACTGGGCCACCAAGGCCCCTTAAACCATGGTGTGGCAGGGGAGGATGGGGGGTGGTGGAATTAAACTCAAACTAACAGAAACCCAGGGCACAAACCATCTACCGTTGAAGCTAGGAGCCCCAGAAACCATGCTGTTCAGAGAAGGGCAGAGATTTTTCCTGTCACATAGCTTAGGACTAGCCCTCCTCTGACTCCCAGCCCCAGCAACACACCTGCTCCAAGTTGCCTGGAAACAAAAGAAAGAAGCAAAACTCTCTGAAGTGCCAAGCACACTCTGAAATCCTAGGGACACCTAGGCCAAAGAATGAGCTCCCTGGGTGAGGTTAGAAAAGGAAACCTATCCCTAAGCCCTTCCTGGGCCTCAATTTTCTCATCCTGTAAAATGGGGCTATTGTATAGTTTGAATTTTGCTGGTTTAGTCCTGAGGATTTAGAAAAAAAGCAGGCCTGGCATTTAGTAGGTCCACTATCGCTGGTCCAGGAATGAGGGGACTAATTGTTAGTCAGATTAGTCCCAACCTTATTCCTGGCCTCACTGCAATGCCTTTCCGGGGGAGATCCCTACAAAACAAACTTCTGCACCATCAGACCACTCAGAAAGGCACAGCCTAATCTGCGCTAGGCTTCGGGAGCCGCAGCCTGGGCTCCCCCCACCCCAAGCCCCTCTCCATCCATCTTTCGCCGCTGCCGCCACGGGCGGGGCAGCCAGCCAAGCCCCCGGAGCACCCGCGGCCCCGCCCCTCAAGCTAGCCGATCGCAAGCCTCTCTAAATCAGGGGGTGCAGGAGGAGCGAGGGTGCGGGGAGGGGGACCTGGTCGGCCTTCGCGGGCCAGTCCTAGGTGCCCGATTGCCAAGCGCTGGGGGATCGGAGCGGGGACGTATCCTAGAAAGAGTCCTTTGCCCGCCTGCCCCCTCTAAGAGGAAGGGAATCTGCGGAAGGGGGCGGGGAGGAGCTGTCGGGCAGCTCCGGACGGGATTTGCCCGGACTTGAAGACGCTCTCGACCAGAGACCAAACACTAGAGAACCTCGGGAAGGCTCCCTTCTCATTGGCCAGGGGTCCGAGGGAGCCAGGGAGGGCAGCGCAGCCCCGGGGGGAGAGGGCTGCGAGGGCCGAGGCTGCCAGTTGATGCAACCCTACTTCTGGGTTACGCACTTCACTCCGCTTCCCCGAATCCAAAGGGTGCACAGACTTATCTTGGGACAGCCAGAGGCTCAGACGCGACTCGGGCTTCAAGCGAAGAGTGGCGTCGCTCGGCCTCTGCTTACCTCTCCGGCCCCAGCGCCGCCGCCACTCCGGGCGAACGGCAGGTAGCCCTTGAGCTCGGCGCGGCACTCGGAGTCTGCAACGATCATGGTCTGCGCCAGGACCGAGCCTCGGCTCGCCGACGACCTGTGCACCGGAGCGGCGGTTTGGACGGAGGCACGTAGGAAGCCGCGACCCGGGGCAGCACGGGAGGTTCTAGAACCCTGAGGTGCTTATCGGGGTTCCAGAACGCTCCGAAAGCCCAGAATCCGAGAACGGCCGCAGCTGTACTGGACTCTCCTCCAGCCCGGCTTCTTGAACGGTGAATGGCTTCGGGCTCCTGCGACTGGCCGCGGCGCGGGGGTTTTCACGGCCCGGAGCGCCTCGGAAGTCCGCAGTGGCCAGGGCTGCTCGCAGACCCAGCCCTCCTCAGCATCCCCGCCGCGGAACTGCCAGCGCTCTCTCGGCTCTGACACCAGCAGCGCCGCTCAGCTCGCTGCGGTCCCCGGGGGAGGGCGGGGACACAAAAACCCCGCGTCGCAGCCAATCAGATGCCTGTTTCCCGGGGAAGCGGGGGCGACACCTCCCTCTGGGGCCGACTACTCAGCCAATCGGCCCCGGGAAGCGCCCGGAACTCTGGGAGCTGTAGTCTCGCCCAGACGAATGCCGCAAACTTTTGCAAGAGGGTTTAGTCAGAGCGCAGGCAATACCAGACAAGAGTGACGGCCCTGAGAGTCAGTAGCACTGCATGATGAAACGGGACTTCATCGAGCTGGACCCGAGAGGCGAGTGTGAACTCCCTCCCAAGTGTGTCCTTCAACTTTTTAGTTCCTGGAGCGACTGGTTAGAGTTAAGAGAGATTTGGCCCACTTTATCCAATGGTGCTAATTATAGAGCTGAACATCAGATCTTTGGAGGTCAGAGGGCACAGCCCTGTTCCCCCTAGCCTCCTGAAGGACTCCATCTTCAGATGTACCACAGACAGGGAAACCACCCTATTTGTGGAGTCTCTGGAAAAAGCCTTCATTCATTGAAATGCCATTGGCAACCGATGTCTAACCTCAGTCCCTATTGCTGAAGTTTCCTCCCTTCTGCTCCCTTGGGACCTCAGGTCCTGTTTTCCATTCCTACCAGCCACCTTCTTGAAACTTTGTGACAAGGTGTTGTGCTGGGTCTCTTCTCACCTCTCTCTGGCCACTCCTCTGACTTCTTTCTCCTCCTACCCCCTGAAAGTGGGTGTTCCCCAAGTTTCTGTTTTTATCCCTCTTCTCTCTCTACAGGCACACTCACCCTCCCTGATCTCATCCACTTCCTGGCCTGGCCTTCAACTCTCGTTTGGCAAGGAAGTCACCCCACCAGCACCTTAAAGCTGAATTATTTTTCCCTTGTCCTCTTCACACAGAGCCTTCACAGATTTTCTTGAGTCCCACTTTTTGTTTCAATTTTAAAGTCAGTGTTTACTCTGGACATGGATTGTGGCAGGGCAGGGGTGGACTAAATGACTTCCAAGATCTTCTCTGATACTCTGAGTCTAGGATTATGATTCTAAAGATGATCCTCTGACTTGGTCTCCTGCTCCAGCCTTTTGGGAGAAGGAAATTAATCTCACCCTTCCTTGAGTTCCCAAGGCACTTGGGCTGGGTCTCTATTATAACACTTATCACACTCTACCTTGTATTGTAATTTTCTGTGTACGTGTCTCACCTGACGCTTTTGATTACGTATACGTTCCCTGAGGGCAGGGTCCACGTTTTGACATCTTTGTCTCCTGCCCTATTCCTCCTAGCACAATGTTCTGCCAATAATATGCCCTTGGTAATTGAATTTTCCTTTGAATCGAATTCCCCTGTGAACCACCTTACGTCAGATTCAACTTTCACTGAAAAAATTTACTCTGTAATGTCAATGTCCAGATCAAAAAGCTTTAATGGTATTTCATCAGCTACAGGATAAAAGTCAAACCCCTAGACTGACATTCAAGGCCTACCAAGACCTGCCTCAACTTACCTTTCCGGGCTTACTTGCCATACCCATGTCTTTGTTTGACTTTCAAGCTTTTCCTCCAGTAGTTCTCTCTGCAAATCTCTGCCCATTGAAATCCTATCCAGAATTCAATGCCTTCAGTACATGTTTGTGGCCTGAATGAAGGCTTCCAACTACTACTTCCCTAGAAGGTGTTGCTTTTTCAGCCTAGCTAAAGGTAATCTCTCCTACTCAACTCCTACAACACATTGTTTCTATCTCTTTATACTACTGGTTTCTAAACTGGATACAGCCTTGTTATCATGTCTATATGTTTACCCCCTCCTCCAGCTAACAATGGAATACGTTATCGATTACTTTTACAAAGTGAGGGAGCAAGCTCAAAATGGTAAAATTGCTTGTCCAAGGTCAGACAATATCTTCTTTCGACTGCACCAGGCTGTGCCAGAGCTCCTTTAAGGCAGAAACTGTCTAATTGTCTCTGTATTCCCTACTAGCATATAATGGATCCTCAGTAAATATTCTGAAGTAATGAATTTTAATTACGCCCCTCTGTAGACTAAGCCTTCAGAATCTTCGAAGAAGTGACTAAATCATTCCCATGGTTTCTCTTATAAAGTTAGTAATTTTGTGAAAAGGAAAAGCAGAGATACTGATATTCTAAAGTGGACACTCTTTTGTGACCCAGTCTCCACAAGGAAGGAAAGATTGGAAGAGGCAGGGACACTAACACTGGTACAGGATATATCCGTTGTCTCATGTAACTCTCACCACAACTTCCTGAGGTTGGCATTATGCTCCCATTTGACAGATAAGGAAAGTGAGACTCAAGAAGTGTATTGACCAAGGTCAGACAGCTTATAGTAGGTTGAGCAAGGATTCAAACCCAGGCAGGAATGACTCCAAAGCAGAAACACCACTGTGCCACTAATTAAGATGGAAGTGAACATGTAAGAAGTATGCTGGTATAAGAAACTTATGCTTAAAGCAGAATTCTAATATATAATTAGGAGCAAAAACATAACTGTCAGGTGGCATATACTTGTTGGGCCAGCACATCCCTTCTTGTGGGAAAGTCTCCATGAAAAGCCAAGTTACCATCTGAAGGTGACTAGGACAGCTGGAATCTGACCAAAAGGAACCAGTGAAAAGGTGAATCATTGAACTGGCTCTATTCAGGGCAAACCTGCTGGTTAGGGTTCTGGATTCTTCCCTCCCTCTTTCATTCAGTAAATTTTATTGACCATCTAGTGTATACCAGGAGTCCCTGAGGGTACAAATGGTTAATGCACTTGGCTGCTAATTGAAAGGTTAGTGGTTTGAGTCCAGCCAGAGGTGCCTTGGAAGAAAGGCCTGGCAATATACTTCCAAAAAATAAGCACATTGAAAACACTACAGGGCACAGTTCTACACTGACACACATGAGGTCACCATGAGTCGGAACTGACTCAATGACAACTGGTTAGTGTATATCAGGTACTGTGCTGGGCTCCGGAAATCCAGTAGTGAAGCTTCCAGCCCAGTGAGGTGTGGCCTGGTGACACAGGCTGGACACAGTCCTCCTCTTCCACCCCTTGTGTTTCCGTCTCCTCATCTTGTGCTTTGGGTTCAGTAAAGATCTCCTCCTGTTGCCATACTCTCTTGCAACAGTTATATTGAGGCCACCCATTGGCCAAAGCTTTTTTATTCCTCGATCATATTCCAGTCCTGAAGATACATCTAGATTTGGCTTGAAATATTTCAGAGGTGTCCTCAGTCTCAGACCCCCTCTCAGACTCTAACGAGATTCCTTATCTGTTCTATTTTCATTCTTCCTCGATGAATTTTCCAATCCCATATTCTGGGATCATGTTACTACAATGACCTTGTATCTTGACCATTCTTGGGGCAGTGGTTTATCACCCCAGATGTCATTTTTTAATTCTTCATATTGTTTTTGTCTCTCCTCACTCCTACCCTCAGCTCAGAACACAATTCTGGCCCTGGGGGAGCTTTCAGGAAAGAAGCCAAATCCTATCTGGTTTGATAAAGCCAAAGGTGACCCACCTTCCATGGTTTATTCACATATTCATTCTTTTTAATTACTCATTAAGCAGGCATTGTGCTACATGCTGAGGGAGGTCCTTCCCTCACCTAGCTGACAGGTCCAGAATCGGCAAGCTTAGCTTCAGAAGCACGGTTGGCATTGTCTCCTGGAGTTGTGCATTAGGGGGCAGCCTCCACAGACCCTTGGAGAAGAAGCCAACTATCTCCTGGGTAAAATGGGACAGAAGGAGTACCGCCCAGGAATCAGGAAACTCAAGTGCTAGTTTTTAGCTGTGAATTTTTTCAGCTTTTAGGATCTATTTCCTCATTTGCAAAGCAAAGAATTGAAATTAGCTTCAGAAATTAACTCTCAAGAGTCACTATGGAGAGTACTGGGCAATGCATATAATTCTGTTTCCTCGACTTAATACTAAGAACAAAAACCTTCAAGTTTGAAAAAGCTTATCCCCTCTGAATAAATATGAAAACAGACCAGCTGGTTGTTTTGTCGACTAAGTGAGCCCTCAGCGCCCCCTGCAGGCCGGACCCTGCTACAGCTCAGCCAGAAAGGGCTTGTAAAAGAGGTGGCTTGAGGGTTACCCCAAACAGTTTTGAGTTTATAGGATTGTCAAGTTCCATGTCACCGCCGGGAGGTCCTGGAAAGAGGCCAGACGACAGCTAAATAAAGACGGTGTGGTTGCAGAGGATTCCCCTGCTGCTGGCGGGACCAGACTCCCAAAAGACTTTACAGCCTGGATACACTTCCCATTGGGTTGGTTTACTCCCTTTTCTTACAGACTGGAAGTCTGAGATAGAGAGAGAGGAAAGAATTTGCCCAAGGTCACCAAGCAAGATGGCCACAGAGCAGAGACTAGAACCCTGGGGTCCAGGCCCCCAGTCCAGAGCTACTTGCACCATAATAGTCTGCCCCAAGAGCCTTACATTTCCAGAAAGAACAACTTCTCTCTTTGCTCCGGTGTATTCCCCTCTCTTTTCCCCCTCCTTTCCACTCTTAGAGGCCCTATACATCCCCACAGAGCTACTCTGAGGCCTGTCCCTGGAACAATACCCCTGGCCCTTGCCACCATCTTGTCCCACCTCGCCCTACCCCGTAAAGACTTCCTTGTCACTCCAAAAAAAAAAGACTGGGAGTGGAGTCAGGATATCTGAGTTGAAGGTTCTAGTTCTAACCCTTTCTGTGTGAACCTGGGCAAGTCACGTCACTTCTCTGAACCTGTTTCCTCCTGTGTATAGTGGG